GTGTAGACCCATGTACAGATGTACCAGTGTATCACCATATCTTTTTTTCAGTCGTAAAACTAGGGATCAAAAAACTCGGCAAATGTACAAAGGAGATCACATGAGATTCACATTTTCGTTTATCCCCTCTTACAACTTTATACTCATATATTGATTTTTGTGCTATTTTACAATTTTATTTATATTACTAGTTTTGTGCCCGTACAATACCCGGGTTATTTATTGAATTTAAAGATAGATTTTCAATTTATGTGTCAAATTTAAAATATACTATTAATACGTTTATTGATGTGCTTTTGTGACGATTTGTTATCTAGTAGACATGTTATGATTAATACTAATGTTGGGGGAAATGTTCGATTTAATACATTAAAAAAAAAGCAAATAATAAATTAAATAAGATATATGTTCAAAGCCCATTGGGTTGACCCGAACCCAAAACTTTGGGCAAGGGTTGAACATTTTTTGACTCGTAACATAAAGTGACCCAATCCGAGATGACTCATGACCCGACCCTAATTGACAGGTCTATTTAGTAATAAAATTCTATTAATTGTGAAGTATATTATTTAAAACCGATTAGTATATATTATAAATAAATGTTTTACGCTTTAAACTAATTCTTTCGCTCCAAAAATATATTATGACATAAAAAAAAATTATATGATAATTTTTTAGAATTATAATCTAATATTTTTTTTTGAATAACATTATAATTCAATTTGTATCTCTAAAATATTGGTATTTTATCGAAAATAAAATTCTAAACTTAAAATTTTATCCTAAAATTCTATCCAAATAGATTTCTAAATTAACCGAAGACACTTGGCAAAAAGTTGAAACGCCAAGTGTCGCAACATCGTGACCTGGCTAAAATTTTAGCTTTATATATTAGTTATACGATGATTATATGATATCAGCTTGAATTCCCCAAATATATCTCTTACCTCTTTTCTTTGTCAAAAAATATAAAAAAAAATTCCACTTTTATTGATTTAGGTTTGAACAAGTACATTGAAAGGCCATAGTACATTAGTACAGAATAGAACTAGGTTAATTCCCGTACCATGCACGGTTATAATTAAATTTTACCATAAATAAATAATAAATATGGTGTTAATTCAACAATAATTTATCCAGAAAATTTATTTGTAACAAAATAACTTAAATTAAATGTAAAGATTATTGAATTGGATTGTATAAAAAAAAAAATCTATAGTAATAGAAACTTAGAAGATATAACGTTTTATATAAGAAAATTAAATTATTAGCTTAGGTAATTAGGTTAGTACCCATGCATATACGAAGTCATATACATTTGTCCATAAATTTTTGACACACTTTGATCGGCATAATGTGAAAATTTATTTGAGTTCATTTTACTTTAGGATAATTAGTTTTCCTTAATCAACTTTTTAAATATATTTTTAGTGAGTAATAGGTTTTTTTTAAATAAAATTATCACATAAATGTTTAGAACAATTAGATTTAATTTTCCAATATATGTTATAGGGAAAAAAAGCGGGAAATTTTTTAACCAGTAAATGACAAGTGTCATTCCTGGTTTCGCCTTTAGTATAAGTTATTGATACTACCTTCAATTTGTATTATACTTCCTCCGTTCTGTTAATATTACAACAAGGAGGAAATTACGCATCCCAAAACACATTTTATATGCTAAATATCTATAATTGTGTAAGAGTAAAAATTATAAAAAGTTGATATTGTGAAAGTATTTTATGAGACGAATCCAACAAGATCCCACTTGACTATATTTTGCTTAACGTATAACTCATATTATATGGTCAAACAAAAGTGATGAATAGTGCAAAAAGTTCATTGTTGCAATATTAATAGAACGGAGGAAGTATGTAATTTTGAATTTTTTTTATATCTAATAAATATTACAATAAAGTTGCCTATTCTTATACTTAATAACTTAATAAATGAGAAAGATATATGTTTGTAAAAAACCTAACTTATTAAATCTGATTTTGATTATCTAATAAAATAGAAAGAGATTGAGGGACGAAGAGTGATTTCATGCTGCAACAACTAGGAGTGTTCATAAATCGGTCCAGGCCGAAAAAATGGACCAAACCACCTCGGATCGGACCGAATTAATCAGTCCAATCTTCGGGTCTAAGAAATTTATTTTCCCGATCTCCGGTCCAATCCAAACCCCTATAAAAACCGGTCTTGGACCGGACTGATTTTTTTTTATTAAAAATATGTGTGAAACCTTAAATAATGGTTAAGATTATCCTTAATAAGTTTAAGAAACTTTAAATTTATGAGCTTTTTTGTACTAAATATACAAAAAAAAAAGTGTAGAATTCCTTTACTTTTTTCGAGTTTTCCATAAAATTATTAAAAAATTAGAATTATTTTTTAAAAAAATTCTTAAATCTATCCAAAGCGGTTCGGTCCGGGGTTTGAACCAATTTATTCTGTCAGGTTTGGGTTTGGTCCTAGCTTAATCTGTCCGATTTTCGGTTTTTAGAATTCTAATTTTCGGTCCGGTCTTGGACCAATGAACAACCCTAGCAACAACCATAGCAATGAGAGATGCCAAAAGGATCGGAAGTAAGTCTGTAGATAAAATATTGAATTGTGAGACAGTAGCGAAAGATATCGTTTATGTAAAATTTGTTATATACACTCGGGTGTACCGTACACCCGGATTATTTGCTCTTTAATTTTTACTCATTTAAAAAATGAGTAAATTTTATTTGCTCATTTGTTAAATGAGTAAAAAAAAATAAGGAAAAAATGAAAAGAATAATCCCACCTTTCGCCCATCTGCTCAAAATAATCCCACCTTTTCGAATTCCAGAAATAATCCCACCTTGTAACCCCATCTTCCCAAAATGATCCTTTTACCGGTTTATGAAATTAGTAACCTGTTTTAGAAGGTGACTTGACACATGTCACCTTTTAATTGGTCTTAAATTTTAAATAATTTAAAATAAAAACAAAACAATTAAAAAAAATTTCTCCCAGCTACACGACCACCCCCTTATCACCACCATCACAACCCCCTGCCGCCGCGCCTTACCACCATCACAAATTTCACTTTCCTCTCTGCAGTTGCTGCCACTACAACCCACCACCACCGAACCCACACACACCAAATCGCCACCGATCACAACCCCTCTTAACTCAAGGGCTTCGCCCAACCACACCAACAACCCCACCGCACCACCTCCGAATTCGCCCAACATACCCCACAACAACCACAACTGCACTAACTCCACAATTACCCCAACTTCCCCCAGCATGGCAGCCTTCAAAATTACAGCCATCAACATCGCTACCACCATCTCCAACCATCGTGATGTCGCAGCCACAACCTCCAATTCAACCCCAAAACAACACATTTGCCGCTGGCAATCCCAGACATCGGCCAATTTTGAGGTGTTTGCGGTGGGATTATTTTGAGGTGGTGTTTGAGGTGGAATTCGGGTGGTGTTTGCGGTGGTTTGAAGAGGCTGGGGTTCGAATGATTGAGGTGGTTAGGCTGGGTTAAGATGGTTTTCGGGGAAAGAGAAGGGGGAAGGAAGGTTTCGCCGGTATTGGTGGGGCAGGGGTGCCGACGGCTAGGGTTAAGCTGTCGCCGATGGGGGGACAGGTGGTTCCAATGGTGGGTGTGGGGGTTGCGTTAGGGTATTAGGGGATTTTTTTCTTTTTTTTTTCTTTTTTTTTATTTTGCCTTTGTTTTATTTATATGAAAAAAAATAAAATTACCTGTTGAAACGGTTGTGGGTAAAAAGGATCATTTTGAGAAGATGGGATTATTTCTGGAATTCAAAAATGTGGGATTATTTTGAGCAGATGGGCGAAAGGTGGGATTATTCTTTTCAATTTTTCCAAAAAATAATGAGCAAATTACCTGGGTGTACGAAACAAGCTCTCTTGTTTTTGTGAGTTAGCTGATCATATTCTTTACAAAAAAAAAAAAAAAATTTTTATCACACATATATAGGTTAAATTTACAATTTGAGAACTATTTTTTCTATGCAAAAAAATTGAATGAAAAATGAACTTTTGCACTTTTCACACAATATTCTTGGACCATCTTTTGTGATTTATTGGTAAGGAAAAACATACTTGGGTTGGATCTAATTAGATTTATCTTGATTTCTAATTTTTATTTTTCAGCATTTTAAGTTTTTACTAATCTATAATTATAGATATCGATCATCAAAGTAAAGCATTGAGAGACGTAAAATCACAACTTGTGCAATTAAAAAAACAAGAGGAAGTAGTATGATAGAAAAGATTTTTTTTGAGGTTTTGTATGATATTCTATGGAATCTTTGATTGCATATGAGTTATGTATTATTCTTATATAGTAATGATATCATTAGTATTTTATTTGATTTGATTTGATTTTATTCTACTATGGGTTTTTATTTTTGGAAGAATGTAAATATGATACTCATATTGGTTATAATTCTATTTTCATATTTGATTTACTTTCAAGGCTTTTTGTTTAAGGGCAATTTGGATAGTTCAAAACTTAGACACTAAGGGCATGTTCTGATTTACTGAATAGAACTAAATCGAACTGAGTAGTTTATGAGAGATGGAGATTAGTAATTGTATTGAACTGAACTTAAGTTGAAAAGAACAGGTCACTTTCCAGTTTTCACTTCCTTTCTCTTGTAGTTTATTTTTTCTTTGAATGGTAAAACTAATACTTGAATAAACAGTTATATATTTATATGACATCAAACAACTATAAAAGATACCCAAAAAGGAATATGGGGATTGGAAAATAAAATGGGATTATAAAACCTTTCAATCCCATATTAGTACTATTTAGAGAGCGAGGGATAGCTCAATGGATTAGAGCTTCCCTCACGACCTATTACGAGTATTTATTTAATTAAAATAATATAAGTTCTTTAATATTTATAACACATGAGTTTGCACATAGTTTTGGCCTTTTAGCAATAATTCTTAGTAGTATATGAAATTGAATGAACTAATGCACGAGCGAGTTAATACAAGTACAAAGTGACTATAAATATACCTTGTTTGCGGGATAAAAAATTACTCCGTATCATTAAATAGTACGAAGTACAAAGCGACCAAATATATACATTTAAAATGGTAAAAGTAACATAAACAAGGAAGGGTAAATTGGACAAATAAAAAGATAAATCAAAAGTGAGTAAACTAAGGAAAAGTTGTTGTATTCAAAACAATACTATTTCACATTTAGGTACAATATGTAACCGAAATCATAGGAAAATGGTCAACAAAAAACCTAAATTGAAATCTATAAATAAAATAAAACTCATTTTAATTTCCTTAAATACAATTAAAACCCCATTTAATAATGAAAATCAATAGTTATAAAAATTCTTTTAAAACCCTTCTTTCTCTCTCCTCTTCACACACACACACTCTCTCTCTACACCCTTCTCTGAGTGATCTCTCTCAATGTGTGTGAGCGTTTGTAAAATACTTTATAATATAAAAATTATACACATATTTTACACACATATAAATATCGCTCTCAACTCTTCATTTTAATGGCGTGAGCGTGCACAGAAGTAACAGACCGTACTACTACTCTAGGCTAAATTCGTGAAAAAAAATCAAAAATTAAAAACCCATTTCCTCAAATTGCTATTTTTTTTTTTTTAATTTCAATCAAAATTTCTTGACAGAATGAAAAAAAAAGCGTCGAAAAAAATCTCCATCAATCTTCCTTCATGTTCATGTATTTTTCTATAAACTTTGTCTCTTTTGTTTGAAATTTTGATCTGGGGTTTTGTTGTTTTTGTGTGTGTGTGTGTGTGTGTGTTTTTTTGAATTTTTTTTATTTGGGTTTGTTATATTTTTCCCTTTTTTTGTTCCTACTCTGTTGTTGAATATTAGCGTAAATTGTGGGGTGTTTGTTAATTTAATATGAAGAAAAGTGAAAGAGAATTTGATTATAATTATTCTGGTGAAGCATCTAATTATTATCATCCAAAAATGTACGAGGGTGTTGTTCAACCTTCTGCAAATTCTGGGTTTTGTTTTCCTGATTTTGTTGTTGGTTCATCAACAGCATCATCATCTTCTTCATCAGTAAACCCTTTTGATCATTCACGTTTTTCAACGCCAAAAACCCATTTTGTAGATCAATTTTATGTGGCTCCTAATTTACCAGATTCTTACTATAGAAGGGTTAACAATGATGGTGTTGTTGGTGGTGGGGTAATGGTGGATGAGCTTGGTTTAGCAGCAGATTTTCAGAAGTTGAGTGTTGGAAATTCTGATGTTGTTGGACAATTTCATAGAGATTCAGATGTTTTTAGGGGGAGTGAATATAATGTGACTGAGAATTTTGGGGTTTTAGAGGGTTTATATAACAGTAATGGGTTTTCTGGTAATGGGGTAGGGTTTCAATCATCTGTGTATAGAGATGAGCAGGGTGTTAAGGATTTTAGATTGGGGGGGATTAAGGGAGGGGGTAATCTAGCCGATTCGTTCGGGTCGAATTCCGGTTATGCTGCAATGCATGGTCATCATAACTATTTGATTAATCTTCCTTTGGATGGGATGAGTCAGATAGGAGATGAGTGTTTTGGGAATGTTGGTGTGCCATTTCTTGGAGGAAATAAGTATTGTGATCCATTGCCTGTGTATGGAAGTGGTGATTTTCGAGGTAATGTTTCGATTCTGAAGGGAGGTGAATGTAACAGTAATGGAGGTGTGATTCCAAAGGGGGATGTAGGGTATGGTAATGGAATGTTTGAGTCTGGATATGGCCCTCATGTTGTAGGTGATCCTTTGCAGCAATATATGTTGGATGGCTGCAAGGAGATGTTGAATCCTTGGGGAAATTCTCAGAATGTGTCTATGTATAATAAGCCTGGTTTTAATGAAGCTTTCTTAGAGCAGTATGGACGGCAGTATCCTGGCAATGTGGGTAGCCTAGGTTCTGTCGATCCCTCTCAGTTAATGTATTATAAGCAGGGTTTGAGTAGGGGAAATGCATTTTATAACTCAATGAGGGAAAAGATGAGGGCTGTTGAAGAAAGGGAGGGTCCTTTGCCTGTTACTTTGATGAGAAGGCCAAGGAATCTCGAGTCCTATGGTTCTGAAAGGACCTCGATCTTACGAGATAAGGGATTTAATGGAGCAATTGGTAAGAATTGTCAATTAGGTGGTCTTAACAAGAATCTGCTTAGTGGGAATACAGTGCCAAACATTGGGGAGAGGAACTTTGAACTTAATGTAAATGTTCCATTGCAGACTAAAAGAGCTTGTGAAAATGGTAGTCATGTGCTTGATCCTTTGATGGTGCAGGCTCTATATAAGTCATTGGTTGAGGTTCGGGGTAGAATCTGTAACATGGCAAAGGATCAACATGGTTGTCGCTTCCTGCAGAAGAAGTTTGATGAAGGGTCATTTGAAGACGTGCAACTCATTTTTAATGAAATTATTGACCATGTTGTTGAGCTGATGATGAATTCCTTTGGAAATTATCTAATTCAGAAATTGTTGGATGTCTGCAATGATGAACAAAGAATGAGGATTGTACATATGGTGACCAAAAACCGAGGAGAACTTGTCAAAGTTTCTTTGAATACACATGGGTATTGTTATTCAACATAATGAATAGTTGATCATTCCTTGTTAGCCTTATTTATAAACTTTTGCCCATGATTTCCTTTGACTGAGATTGGTTTTTCGTGTTTCAGTACACGAGTGGTGCAGAAATTGATCGAGAGCCTTAAATCAAGGAAGCAGATCTCATTGGTTATTCGAGCTCTTGAACCAGGATTTATTGATCTTATAAAGGATCTGAATGGGAATCATGTTGTCCAGCGTTGCTTGCAATGCCTTAGCAGTGATGATAATAAGGTATATGTCATCAAACAATACATAAGATTGCCTATGTGACTAAAATTAATTATAGCCTGCTCAAAATTGAGTGAAGCATTCTTACTCTTATTTTGCTGGTTCCTGTTATTTTCCATCAGTTGCTTGTTTCTTCAAATTTTTTGTGACTAGCATGTACATTATTGATGAAAGATATATGTTGAGTCACAGAATTTATGCACTTTTGTTGTTGGACTTTACGTGATGAAACTAGAGTTTGATTTTTTTGCCAAATCATTGTCTCATTTCAAGGAGCAAGTGTTAACTTTCTACAATTGCTAGGGGGATTGGTACAACTGTTTCATGTTTTCATTGTTGCCTGATTTATAGTCATAAAGAAGGGGTGGTTTGATCACATATTCATGTAGTCTAAGAATTTGCATTGTTAAAATGGGAGACCGTGTCATTTAGATGGGGCTGTTACGATGAGAAGAAGATTGATTTACTTAACAACTGAAAGTTTCTGCTTCATTTTTTTTGCCATCATATTTTTTTAAAACTCATGGTGCTTTTCCCTTGCACGATGTTAGTCATGCAATTGTTACTTTCATTTATCCATTTCTAGTAAATCTCATTAATATTAATTGTTTTTGTCTGATTAGTGTGTGATATTGTTGTTTGCATTCTTCATTACTAGAGTTAATTTTGTTTGTAGTTATATTACTCTTTTAGTCTTATTGTGCTTATTTCTCCATTTTACATTATTTTTACGTGGCAGTTCATCTTTGATGCGGCTGCAAAGTACTCTGTTGAGATTGCTACTCATCGGCATGGGTGTTGTGTTCTTCAACGTTGTATTGCTCACTCCACTGGTGAACATCAACAGAAGTTGTTAGAACAAATATGTAGCAATGGCCTTATTCTTGCTCAAGATCCTTTTGGGTAATAATCTGAACTGTGGAATTTATAAAAATTACTTTTTTTGCTCAGATACACTTATAGACATGCTTTTTCTGGTTAATGCAAATTGGTATTGAGTATAACTTGTCATAAAATGTTATGCGGATCTATTTGTTGGACATTTGCACTCAGGTTTGCCTTGTTTACGCAGGATAGTTATCAGTTGTTGGTTTGATAAAAGAGGAGAAGCTGGCTTGAATATCACTTTTTGTTATAGCGGATTTACTTTCATGAATACATTTCATTTTAAGTATTTGCCTTGATTATTACAAGTACTTTACTACTCACATTTAGGCTCAACGATTTTAACCTTTTCCTTGATGGCTTGAGCATACTATCATAAAAGACTTCCAAATATATATATTTCTTTTCATGTCTATTTGAATGAGAATTATCATCCATTTGCTTTTACTGACCGGAAACTTTTATTGGTGTAGTTATTTGAAAACAATATTATTTAGCTTTGAATTTTTTCTGTTAATGGTTTGCTGAAGCTAGCTCATATGTACTCATAAGGGTTCAATTATTTTGCAAGGTCATGAGCTTGTTCTCATATCCATACAGATCAGTAGGAGAGGGGAATCTGAGTAATTTTAAAACTCATATAGTCATTTTATATATGCATGTATGTGTGATTTGCATTTGCCACTATAGAGGTTATAGTATAATTAGGAGGGGGCCATAAAACAATATGTTTGTTTGCAGCTTATCTCGTGGCCTTTATAGTGGTTCATTCAATTTGCTTATATGAAAACTATCAAATTATAGGATTTGATGCTTCTATTACTTTAAATGTTTTCTTTTTGCGTGTTATGGATATGCTGTGAAAGCACTGTTATGTATTTTACTATTTTTTGAGGTTTGTTCTTATCCTGTGAGAGAACAAAGAAAGGTTTAAAGGTTAAGTGTTTTTGGATCATTGTGATTTGTAGAATTCTTTGGTGCATTTATTGAAGTGGTTGACTTAATTTAAAGCTTAGTTTAAAGCTCGATTTTGCTTAGTTGGTATGCACAGTGGTGTTATTCTTGATTGAAGGTATCTATGCTTGTCAATAACGACTTTTTTGTACGATATAATGGTGTAGTGTAAAGTTGTAAGCTGTTCTTGTTTTACGTATTGCTGTTCTCTCTGTCCTAAAATAAATCCACTCTTCCATTGGAATCTGTTATGGGAACTTTAAGTTTTATATTTATTTGGCTGAACTGGTGTAGTGTAAAGTTGTAAGCTGTTCTTGTTTTACGTATTGCTGTTCTCTCTGTCCTAAAATAAATCCACTCTTCCATTGGAATCTGTTATGGGAACTTTAAGTTTTATATTTATTTGGCTGAACTATGCCTAATGCAATGACTTAAATATAAGATTGGCATTCATTTTAGATGGCTTTATATTATTTCATGCTCAATTTAGACGCTCTAACATTATTCAATATAGTATTTATAGGTTATGAGTTAAATGTACTAGTGATGCTAAACCTTTATTATCACATTTTTTCGGCCTTCTGACTTTAATATTGTCTTCTATCTCAGAAACTATGTTGTGCAGTACATCCTCGAGCTAAAAATTCCATCTGCGGCAGCACAGCTGGTTTCTCAATTGGAAGGGAACTTTGTGCATCTCTCCATGCAGAAATTTAGCAGCCATGTGGTTGAAAAATGCTTCAAGTTTTATGAGGAAAGCCACGCAAGAATTGTGTATGAATTGCTATCAGTTTCTCATTTTGAGCAACTTGTGCAGGATCCTTATGCTAACTATGTCATTCAGTCAGCACTTGAAAATACCAAGGTCTGCTTATAAACGCTTCTTCCTTAACTATTAGTTTTTGTTTCACGTTATGCTCATCTTTGAAGTAGACAATATCTTGCTTAATTAGTGAATTGATATTTCTGGGTTTTGGAACCCAAAAACTGCAATGTGTGATTTGACATTAATAAGAAATTAAGAATACCGATAAATTTAGATGGTGAACTGTTATAATCAAGTGAGAATTTGAAACAGGAAAACTATGAAATGGCGTGATGATTGTTTTTTGTTTAGTATGAGCTGAAGAAGGATATTATCTTGCTGATATATACCCTTAGAATTCCTTGCCAACCAATTGTGTGAGATGATTCTCCTTCTTTGTTCACAATTCTATCTTGCTGTTTATGTTTTTTTTGGATGAAGTATTAATATTAGAAAATGGTAACGAATCTTGTTTGTATTTTGGTATTAAAAAACTAATTGTTCCACATTTATATACAAGATAATGCATCTCCACTTGGAAACATACCCATGTCTATATGATACTGACCGATAATGGTATTCAAGAATTAATGAAGAATAACGCGTATTTGGATCATTACGTTTTGTTTTTTACCTAGGACATTTCGGGCCTAATTATGCTGTGTAGCTATTATTTGTTGATATCTGATGATTTGCTTTGTTTATATGGCATATTTTTGTACCATATTGTACATGTGTCATTGGAGCTGTAAGTGTTGGTTAATTTTCTTGCATTTCATACGAGTCTTCTTCTTAGGTTTGAGATTTGCAGCCAGGGGCAGTTTGATAGTCAGTATTCTTGACAGTGCTAGCTGTTCATTAGAATAACTACTCTAAAATTACAATTCAATCTGTATGATGTCCTAAATGTCACTTTTTGCAAAATTCTGTTGCAGGGCACTCTCTACGAATCACTTGCAACAGCTGTTCGTCCTCACTCGATGCTACGTACCAACCCATATGGCAAGAAGATTTTCAGCCGAGGATTGCTGAAGAAGTGAGATGAGAAGGAAGCTTTTTTTTGTATGTTGTTTTCTGCAGTAAAGAATGTTGTTTGTTACTTCTACAATAATCAAACTTTGTGAGTCTATATGTCCGCTCTGTGTTAGCTTTTTAGCTAGATAAACCTTATATGATCTCGTGGCCTCATGGGCATGTACATCGTCGTTTTTGGATCCCTGATTCCCATGAAGCTGTTCGGGTGTAAAGGAATTTTTGCTGCTCTCAGATAGAAACATTTGAGGTGTATAGATCAGAGCTTACTTAGCTGCTGCTTTTCTTGTTGATGACTTCAGGGCAGGCTGAAGTTCTAGTTACCATTTTATTTCACTCATAAAACAATGAACAAGTCTTTTTTAGGATTGTAAAAATGTGTGTTTTTGTGACATTTTCAAGCTAAAATTTAGCCTTTTTGACGTTGAACGTAGTGATATTATATGGTTTGCATGGCCAACTTAATACTGTATATTATATTATGTACTTGAGGGCCATAATATGGCGCTTAGTACGTTGAATATAATGCTGTAAGTCCTGTAACCATCATTATGGATGGGCTCCATTAACTCCCCCTTCTCTTTTTCTTTTTGGTTTTGTCATTGTACGTCCCAAGTACGAGGTCAACTTATTTTGTATACTGTCTCATTTCTTTAGACGAATGGAGTAGAGGACTCATTTAGCTTAGTTGGTAAGAACATCGTTAAGGTTGTCATAGTCCATTATTGGGATCTTATTGCACGATTTTATTATTAAATGTCATTTTATGATAGGAACTCAACTAGGATTTATTGTGTATCTATGCTTTCTAGAGAGAATCGATTCTCTATATAATCTTACTAAACACTTCCTTCGTCCCTCGAATCGTAATCTTATGTCATGTATGCAATATAGGATTTGTGACTCATGTGGTGTGCCACAATTTTTAAGTAAACTTCTTTAATGTTACTCATATTAGTCACATGGGCTATTCTACAAATAGAAAAAATCTTAATAATTGTGCTTTATCCAAGTGTAAAACAAATTTTAAAGGGGATGTTTGCTCCATGCTCTTTATCATGTATTTACCTTTGCAGTAGTGCATTTTGAACAACTTTTTTTTAGATTATTGAAAAAAAATACCTTTTATACAAAGTTTATGACTATAAATTGCAGTTATATGTTACTTTCATTTCTAAATTATGTTACTTTTGTCCCTAAGTAATGCTAAGAAAATACAATTCTATAAGAAGTATAAGTTTTGGTAAAAAGACTTTTTAATTATTTTCATATGTAAAATTTTACATTTGATCCAAAGTTTACAAGTCATAGCGGATAGTTAAAACAAATACGGAGTACTAAGGAACATTATTTCTAAAGCAAGAAAACATATTGCTTGGATAATGTTACTCTATTCGTGTCATATTTTGTACTTCAAAGAAGATTTATTCTGAACACATAATTTTTCGGCTATCAATGCTATATATATATATATATATATATATATATATATATATATATATATATATATATATATATATATATATATAGCATTTACCTTTAAAATATAATCAATAAGGGTAAGTTTTACTCCATAACTAGCTTAAATCCGGTGCCACACACATATTTTACAATTTATGTAATGAAAAATGTTAATTCAATTATATGCAATTTAAATTTGCCAAAAGACATAATGTCATGGAAATTTGACGAAAAGAAAAAAAAAAGGCTCGAAACACGAGAAATGATTGTGTCACACCATAAGTTGATTTTGGCACACCTTATGTGAGAGCACGGTTTTGTGTGCTCTTCTCACATGACAAATAAAGGTAAGTTCTTACCTGTATATAGCATTTACCTTTTAAATTAACTAATAAAGGTAAGTATTACTCTATAATTACAAAACACAACCAATATTCAATTATGGCGATTACGCTTATAAATTCAGGCTAATCAGATACGAACGAGTTCCGATCACTCTAACAACATCTCTATACTCAAGAGTCCAGAACCTACGTGTTTCACACAATTCAACTAATCAGATACGAACGAGCTCCAATCACTCTATCAACATCTCAATACTCAAGAGTCCAAAACCTACTTGTTTCACACCACTTTTTTTTTCTTTCCCTTTTCTTAATTTTTAACATAAAATAAAAGGGCAAATCAGTCCAAAAAAATAAAAATAAAAATAAAAATCAAAAGTACCTTAGCTGTCAATCATTGATCGTTCACAAGTTTTATACCTCAACCTAACCCTTGCTCAACCATCACAATTCACAACCCTACTACCTCACTTATACCCTCACACACTTCGCCCCTCTTTTCACTTTCTCTCTCCTCTGAAATTTGCAGCACCACTCACCTTCAACAATGTCGCACTTCGGCAGAGCTGGTCCTCCTGACATTCGCGACACCTACTCTCTCCTCGTCCTCAACATCACCTTCCGTATTTCCCCCCTTTTCTCTCTCCTCCTCCATTATTTCCTGCTTAATTTCTCAATTTCATCGATTGATTTTTTGATTTTTGTTTTTTTAATTAATTAACAGGTACTACAGCGGATGATTTGTACCCTTTGTTCGATAGATATGGCAAGGTTGTTGATGTCTTCATCCCTCGTGACCGCAGGTTTGTTAGGGTTTTCTCTTAAATCCCTCTTTTTTTTTCTAGGGTTTATGGGAATTTTGTTGATTATTGATTTTTTGTCGATTGGTTTGATTTTAGAACTGGTGAATCTCGTGGGTTTGCTTTTGTTCGTTACAAGTATCAAGATGAAGCTGCCAAAGCTGTTGAAAAGCTTGATGGTTGGTTTTAATTTTTTTCCCAATTTTCCCAATTATTTTCACTTTTAATTGTAAATTGAATTGTTATTCTACTAATTGGGAGAAGAATTGGATTTGGGTTTTCCTTTGATTATAAAATAATTGGGTTATTCCCCCAATTGGGTTTAATTTGCAGGCAAGGTCGTTGATGGCAGAGAGATAATGGTTCAGTTTGCAAAATATGGTCCTAATGCTGAGAAAATGTGAGTGATTACAAAAATTTCTTTGATTTTATTGGTTTTTGGGTGTTTTTATGATAATGTTGTTTTTGTGTCAAATTATCTTGTTAAATCTCTTATTTGTGGAAAATGGTTTAAGGCAGCTCAATTGATTGCTGAACTTATTATATATGGAGTAATAATTCAAAATACAAGTTCTTTGGTGATTTTCTTATGACAAGTATTGTTTTGCCAATTCAACTTCCTCCCTTTCCATATAGTTTTTCTTTGTTTCATCATTTATATTGCTAGTTGCATAGTGTTAGACGGTTAGTTGTTTCAACAAAATTTAATTCTTGATATATGATGGGTGTAGGTGAATTTTAAATCAATCTAAATTGGCCTTTTTTCTTTTGCTAGTTTTGATTCTGATTAAATTAAGGGGGATATTTTATTGTTCTTAACCCTGGCCTTTTCCTTTACCACAATGGAGAAGAGGTTTTACTCTATTAATTCTTGCCTATGGTTTAGAACAGGACATTATAAACACAGGGGAAGTGCATAATCTGTCGCATTCGTGTTGTAGTGTTGGCTTTGATTTGTATTAGTTCAAGCATCTTTTTGACATGTACTGTGCTTTATTACTTGCCAACATTTAGGCTATGTTTGGATAAGAAAAAATGGAAGGAAAGGAAGGGAGGGGAAAGGGAGGGAGACAAACTTCCTTGTTTGGATAATATGTTGGGGGAGGGGGAGGGGGAGGGGGAGGGGGAGGGGGAGGGATCCATTTTCCCTCCTCCTTTAATAAAGACCATCCCTTCAAAATTGGAGAGATTTAGAGGGAAAATGGAGCTCATCATTTCCTCCACTTTCCCTTCCTTTCCCTTCCCTTCCTCCTATTTCCCTCCCTTCCATTTCCCTTCTTAGTGTTATGCAACTTTTGGAGTGGCTTTTACTCGTAAGAATTAGCTCTCATTTTTACTGGGCTTTGTATTTTCTTGTTTTCAGTCAGAAGGGAAGAATACTAGAGCCAGTCAAGACAAAAGGGAGATCAAGAAGCCCTCGTCCTAGGTGAGCAATAAGTTTTTAACTTTGATCTCGTTTTTTGTTTTCTCCTAAATTTTTGTTATTCATGTTATAATCTGCTGCATGTAATAAATTTGCTTTCAGACATCGGGATGACCACAGGGACAGAGATTATAGAAGGAGAAGTCGCAGTAGGAGCAGAGATAGGTCTGACAGAGACAGGTATCGTAGCAGGGACAAAGATTACCGCCGTCGAAGCAGCAGGAGCTACAGTAGAAGTCCGGACCATCGCAAAGATGATGGTAAAGGGAGGTATGATGATGAGAGGCGAAGCCGAAGCAGATCATATGGAAGGTACTATTTTGACCTTTGTCTTTACTATCCAGTTTCGTTATATATCCTTCGTATATTCTGACATTTTCCTTTCTTTTTAAATGATAGTGCCTCACCTCGTAGAGCCAGTCCCAGTCCTAGGAGAAGCCCTTCACCAAGGGCATCTCCTAAGGATGAAAGTCCTAATGGACGTGCTCAAGAGGAGCGATCTCCAGCTCCCAGGAGTGCATCACCACGTGGGCGATCAGCTCCTAGGAGTGCATCACCGCGTGGGCGGCCAGCTGATTCACGTAGTCAATCTCCCCGCAAATCTGATGTAGATGTGAGTTTTTTTAGCAATTTATGTGTTCTTAGTAAGCTTAAACTTTTAAGAAAGTTGTAATGGTGATTTTGCTTTTTCAGGAGTAAAGGTCGCAGCACTCGACTAATGCTATGATCAGAATGCTTCTAATACAAGCTCAATCTGCCGGAGAGCCTTTTTCATGTCCATGTTGTTGTTCAGTGCTTGACTTGAATTGAAGTGTTTGTTGAAAGTTAGAACTTTCTTAGTTGAATTCCATGCTCCTATCAACTTTTCTTGGTATGGTCCTGTTGTTTAGCTATTGAGCTCTATGAGCAGTTTATTTGTCATTATGTTATAGAACATGAGGTGGTTGGATATGGTCTGTTAGTCTTAAAGATTATCTTGCGTTATTTTTGTGTCGTTATGCTTGCTTATATCCTTAAGCCTGCTCTTTTTCTATCTCATATATTCCTTTCATGTTAAGATACTTTAGTCTGCTGGTTTTTGACATCTAATTTTGTTGGTTCCTTTAGTTTTGAATTGACCTTTCTGAGAGTGGCTGCTTTGCGGTCTGCTCTCTGGAAATTATGATTCAGTTCAGAGACTGTTGGATTGGTGATGGTTTATATGCATTGATATACATGCAAATTACTATCAGAAGTATTTGTGCTATGTTTTAGTTAGAGCCTTCAACCTTTTCCTAGCATTACTTAACTGCTGAACTTGTAGGTTTTTTGACAAGTTCATATGTTTTTGGAACTTTTGCCTCCTTTAATGGCAATATACTTGTGTGTTTGTTTGCTTGGTATATTATGTATGATAGTCTCATAATAAACTATGGATGATGGTGTGGTGTTCAAACAGTTCTCTGTGCATGTCCTCATTCCTTTAGTCTTTTTCTCTGAAAACATCTAACTTCTAGAGAGTTGCTTAGGCCAAAATTAAGCTAATCTTTTTCACTATATCACAGCACGTGAACTGCTGTAGCTGCGCACGTGAGCTCGTTGCTGTAGCTGCTCACCTGATTTATTGCTAGTTTTAGTTTTGGTGTTGATGAATCAATCCCCTACCTTGGACCATGGTAGATGAATGCAGCTGATTCCTTTGACTATATCAGTCTATGCTAGAGCACGTGAGCTCGTGATTCTGGCTGTGTATCTGAGCGAGCTCGTTGCTCTAGCTGCTTGAGGGATAGGAATACGTTCGTTAGATCAATTATCCCTGCCTATGCTGCTGTTGGCTCCTGCTTTTATGCTTATTTTCCTGCTGATTATACGTAAGTTTACTTGCATCTCTGTTAGCTGCTTGCATCAAGTTGCTATCCATTTTTTTTGTTTAGCACTGTTGTCATTGCCTGTGAGCTCTTGACTGTAGTGGTTCGTGTGAGCCTGTGGCCGTAGATGACAGATTGATAGGCAGTTCATTTGTAGACCGTATGAATGATGCTGAAATGCTGCTGGCAGCACCTGATTTATTGCCTTGTATTTTGCGGTTGATGACTAAATTCCTGCATTTGATTCCCTCGCTGATTTCAGCTATCAACTTGGAGTAGTTCGTTGTTGCCTTCTATTTTGATTTATTATTAAAGCCTAATGATTTTTATAGCTGGAAGGTCTACTTGGTTGCGTTTCATTTCATAAATTTGTCAATTTACACCGGTAAAAATTGTACCATATGTTAACAGCAAAGGATTTATGAACAAAAGTTTATACTACGTAGTATTTCTTGATTACATTGGAATGTTTTTGAACAACCTTCAAGACTATTTTGCGTTCTCATCTTTGATTCAATTCAATGTATTGAATGTAACCCAAAAGTAATTGTGAAATTGTGGGTGCTACGAATTGAAACAAACTACCTTAAACCATTTTATTACTCTTTTGATTAAATGATGTAAGTTATAAGCACAATGAGAGTTGGTTGAGACTAGGTTAGAATAGTGAAAAAAGTCAAATTGTAACATTTATTAAAACAAATGATCTTGAATTATGGTTACCGTCTGTTTTGCAAGTCTCCAAGACACTTTGCGTCGATGTTTAACTTGAATGATCTTGAATTCAATCATTACTCTCCATTATTATCTAAAATGATCTTGAATTCAATCATTACTCTCCATTATTATCTAAAATTCTACTGCGCCCCTGAGGATTGCAGCACTAAACTAACCATTTGGTATCAGTACACATTAACAACGAATGCACTATTAAATTATGTTTCCAGATTGTAATCTTGCTCCATAGTTCTTATCAATTTAGAGTTTAGAAGGAGCTTACAATCACAGATTCACAGTTGAACAACTGAACGGCTCGAACGTCAGTAACTTAAATAAAGACGGAGGTTTGTTTTGTTCTCAAATACACGTAGGGTTCACAGGTTTTTTGGTCTAATATTTACGGGCCAGACATTTAAAAGTATGAGCGTAAGTAATCTTAGCCCTTAAGTATTCCGTACCAACTAAAACAAATCTGGCTTTGTAAATAAAGATTTCTGTATGGAAGGCAGGTTCTTAAGAAAAAAAGCTATACAAAAAGTACCAAGTATGTTATATGGCTGTTTGTTCAATTTTTTTCAGCAGAAAAATATACTTAATGGCATAATTTGATTTACCATCCCTTTTGAGTTAAATTAAAAAAAAAAATACTTCAAAGTTTGTTGTACTAAAGTTCTTCAAATGACTACTGATATAGAAAAACCTATTGTGCTTCACGCATGCACAAGAAGTGTGTATTCTTTGGTACCACGCTCATTGATATATCTTCAGACTTGAGGACATTCAATTCCACCTTTGTAAAGTTCCTCCTTAGTGCTCTTACGTACTTCACTTTCATTAGTCTACTCTCTGCCTATTTTTGGTTCTCTCTTTTCGTAGACGGAATGTAGAGAAGGAGCTCCAAAAAGAACCAACCGAAAATGGTAGGAGGAAGTTTTGTAGGAGATGGAGGGGGGCCTAGAGTTCGAGGTGACTCGGGTGGGCATGTAACAGCCGCTGTGGTGATAACCTGTATTGTTGCTGCTTCTGGTGGACTCATTTTCGGTTATGATATTGGCATTTCAGGTACCATCTTCAGCACTAATATTTTTTTAGTTTAACAGCATATATCATTTCATTTGGCTGAACTTTATAGTTGTTACTTAACGTTTTTGACTGGTAGATGAGGTTAGATGATTAACAGAAGATCAATTATATTGTCGAGCACAAGTTAATTTAACAACTGAATAATTGCATTAGTAGTTTATCGGAATCATCTTCCTTTATTACCTCTACACAAGTTCAAATTTTCAACTATCTTACAAAATAATCGAGTATATAACAATGTCTTTAATTTCCTTCACTTGTACCTCAGGGGGAGTAACAACTATGGTACCGTTCTTAAGAAAGTTTTTCCCATCAATATTGGAAAAATCAGGGGATGTCAAAACAAATAAGTACTGTATGTATGATAGCCAAGCATTGACATCCTTCACATCTTCTCTCTACATAGCCGGATTAGCCGCTTCCCTAGTGGCCAGCCGTATTACTGCCAAGTTTGGACGCAAGTTCACCATGGTGCTCGGTGGCTGCACCTTTCTTTTTGGTGCTGCTGTGAATGGTGCTGCTCAAAATATTGCTATGCTCATCTTTGGCCGCATTTTGCTAGGATTTGGTGTTGGTTTTACGAATCAGGTTAGCATAATTGTTTAAAAATTTAGTGTTTTTGGTGGCCTTTAGAGCTAACGCTATTTGTTAATTTTGAGATTAGGGACTAATGGAGACCCTTTATTCCCCTTTAAAACAAAGTTCTTGCAAGATTCGTACTTGATATATTCGTAATTAATTTTTAATTTATGTGGGATGTTCCAATAATACCGTCTCATAAACAAGAAATGGTTTATGATAGTTGTGACTCTTGTGAAAAAAATGGTTTCCTTGTATTACAGTTATCATCTAATCATTATTTACTTAGACTATAACATCAAGTATTGTAATACGAAATCATGGCTTTGTACCATAGGCAACACCGTTATATCTATCAGAGGTGGCGCCTCCAAAGTGGCGAGGAGCATTCAACACTGGATTTCAGTTTTTCATAGGCATTGGAGTGGTAACAGCCAACTGCATTAATTACGCCACAGCAAAGAAAGCCTGGGGATGGCGGCTTTCCTTAGGCTTCGCGGTGATCCCAGCAGCCATAATGACCCTAGGAGTTCTGATCATTCCAGACACCCCTAACAGTTTGGTGGAACGAGGCAAAATGGAGGAGGCCGAGAAGTCCTTAGAGAAGGCAAGAGGGGGTAATATTGATGTAACAGCTGAGTTTGCGGAGCTCATCAAGGCTACTGAGTTAGCCAAAGCAGCTAAAGAGGAGCCCTTTCAGACTATATTTGAGAGGCATTATAGGCCACATTTAGTCTTGGCGATTCTTATCCCCTTCTTTCAACAAATTACTGGGATCAATGTTATTGCATTTTATGCCCCTGTCCTGTTTCAGTCTGTTGGGTTAGGTAGTGACTCTGCCTTGATTGCTGCTATCATCCTGGGTGTTGTTAATCTAGGCTCCATACTCGTGTCCACTTTTTTAGTTGATCGATTTGGTCGAAGGTTCTTGTTCCTGGAAGGCGGTGCTCAGATGTTTATTTTCCAGGTACATTATATACTCACTTTACAGTTTACACTACCTATTCCTTCAGTTTCAAAATATATTTACATGGTTTTGGACCACCTCTTTGAGTGTAGTTTTGGCCTATGAATAATAATATCTGTCTAATTCAACAAAAATGTAACACGATTTCTTGAGATGAACTCGTGTCCTATAATTATCCCATCTATCCTGAATTAGCAAGTCACATTTCTATTATAGACAGTCCCAAAATTATACTCATAGGCCACTTTGAACATAACATTTATTAATGATTCCTCTAACCATGTGAATTAAACAATCATATACGAGATGGAACTAATGGCAGTGACATACAAATAATCAGCTTGGAAAATACAAAATTTTCATTACAAACTCGAGTACTTCTAATTTTCTATTTCTATCCATCCTGAAGATTGCAGTGGCAGGAGTTCTAGTAGCCACAACAGGTATATCAGGAACGGAACACATATCCAAGGGAAACACGGTGCTAGTGCTAGTTTTCATGTGCATCTATGCAGCTGGTTTTGGGTGGTCTTGGGGACCCTTAAGCTGGCTTGTGCCAAGTGAAATCTTCCCATTGAATATTAGGCCAACAGGCCAAAGCATAAGTGCTGCTGTGAATTTTGCCACTACCTTTGTACTTTCACAAACATTTTTAGCAATGCTCTGCTGCTTCAAATTCGGTGCCTTCTTCTTCTATGCTGGTTGGATTGTCATTATGACCATCTTTGTCGCGTTGTTTTTGCCAGAAACAAAGGGTATTCCTTTAGATTCCATGCATATTGTGTGGAACCAACATTGGTACTGGCACAAGTTTGTCAAGCAGGAGCCTTAACTCGCGTTTTATTATGGAAGAGTGCTAGTGAATGTACTTGATTTAATAGTTAGTATTCATATGAATGTACTGACATCAGATTGGTCTTATTAGATAAGACCGTCTGACAAAATAAAGGTCATAATCTAGATAAACAAGTACTCAACTTATTGATCCATATAGCGTAGATGAAATTCAAACTCCTACAAGGCCTATCAATTGTTGAAAAATATGTGTTCCAATTCTTAGTTATGATGTTTCAGTATGTTCCAATAGATCATACTATATTTTTTTTGGAAGAATCATACTATATATAAACGCTCAATTATTCTTATCTAATTAGAAATGAATTTTTTAAATAAAATATTGAGAAAAAGAGTTGTAAATAATAACTTGGACATTTAATTTAGTGTAATTAACTAACAAAGTCTTAGGACAATAAGTCATTGTTCAACAATTAATTATTGAATTCAACTTATAAAAATGATGAAGATGGTCCAGCAGCTGCTTTGAAATTGGATTTCTAAATATGGAAATCCGAGTTTGAAAGCATTTTTTGGATGAAAAGAATTAATGAGAAGTGCAATTTTTCTGTTTTAAAAATTAAAATTTGTGTTTAAGATGGCCAAGATGGGTCAATCAGCACACTGTATGAACTCAATATGAGTTTGATGGTCCACCAATGTTCTTCCGAGTGACGGTCATTGGCTGATCGCCAATGGAACAATCGAGCTGGGCTAATTTACGGGCCAATTCATGACTTAATTTTGTAAAGTGTTGTGGTCCAATTTTTTTTTTTTTTTTTTTTTTTTTGACCTAATTATTAATAATTTTTTATTAGAAGAAATTCTTCAATATGTTTAGCTTAAAAATGTTACAACACCAAGCAATTTTTTTTCCTTTGACAAAAAATGTTGATAGGATAACTGGATAAGTGATTGGTTGTATAACTTGTATTCAGGGCAGCAAGTAGGACTCTCAAGGCACTTTGGGAACATTACGCAAAACCTTCATATATAATCTTGCCGGGTCAAAAAACTGATTTATGAAAGTCAAATTTGAAGGTTATATAGTTCACAAAATCGGACCAATTATTGGGAGGTTTCGAAAACTTGGTATCGAAGATTCACAAAACAATATGGGATGCATCTTGGGGTTTGTTAAGGCTCATACACGACCACTAGTCGATAACATAAAGGTCTTGTAAAAGCCTATGTCTCTACATGGAGGCGTATACTAAAACATGATGTTTAAAAGCAAAGGTGAATGGTTCCAAGTTTCCAACCATTTAAATGGGGTGTTGTGAGGTGCATGGAAAACACATCGATCTATTTCCTTTTTCGAATATGGAAAAGTCCAAAACTGTCCAAAAATGAAGGTTATAATTCACAATTTTGGACCAATTTTGAAGTTTTAGGATCTAATGTCGAAAAATCTGATACGTATTACAAGGTACATCCCGAGATCATATAATATTGTTTGGAACCATATATGATCATTTAATTTTATGTTTTCATAAAGGTATGTGGTGGCCTTGAATTAAAGAGATTAACATAAGTTGTACTGTAAATGAATAAATTGGTAGTTTAAAGGCAAAGTGGACAGTTCCACCCACCCTAATGGACTATTGGAGTGTATTGGGGTCTATGAAAAACATCTCTTCATGGTTTTTTATCGTGCTAAAAAAAGTCAAATATAGTGCAAAACTAAAAGATATAATCCACAATTTCGGGCCGATTTTGAATTTTTTTTAAAAAATAAAACTAAATATATGTATGGGGTGCCCTCGGGATTGTATGAATTGGCTTGAAATTCAATATGCTTATAAAGTCCAAAAAACGAGTTTAGTTTTGTTCATCTATATTGCATTTTTATTAGTTGTACAAGAGATGAAGAGTTGGTTCAAATAATAACCAACTTGTCATCCTGGGGTTTGTATGGAGTCCTTCATCTTTAACAGATATGAATTATGAATTGTGCTTGTGATTAAATTCATTGACTTTCATTACTATAGTAATTAACCCGAGTATAACTCGAGAAACTATTAGTATAAAATATTAAAGTTTTCAACGCTTTTATCAATAATTATTATGAGTATTAGGAAAGTATTTTATATTTTTATTATATTTAATTTAAAGCACGTATGTCTATATCACACGCACCGTATGTCTGGATTGCTAGGCCAATAAGACATGAAACAAATACAAAGTACAAAATACGACGTATGTATGTATGTATCATGCATGTAACTCGAGTGGCATAAGAAATTGCATGGATTTACACATGAAAACTTACAATTTGAAAACAAACATGCCTATTAACGGAAGGTTATTATAACCCTACACAAAGAAAATGGAAGAGATGATGAATTGATGTAGGTGTATGGGAATTCTAAAATCACTGAACTCACTAAGTACTAATAGCTTAACAAGCCAATGTACGTAAATGAGGAAGTTATGTATAAAACCTACCTTTCCTTAAGAAAGAAAACAGATGAGTTTGTAGCCTGAACTGCTGAATTCTATTTAATGCTTAGTTTTAATTAGAAACCAAGAATTCATTCTTTGTACCTTAATTAACATATATATAGAGTGGTCAAACCCTAGCTAGTAGTTAGGGTTAGGGATCTCCCTCATCTACTTCTTCCTTTTCTAGATGTTTAAATTCTATGACATTAAAGAGTAGTATAATTTGTACTAATTACTTACTCTGTGATTTGCAATAATTTCATTCTATAAATATTGAATTCCCTTAAAAAAGAGAAATGGGAGTGAATTTTTGGAATATGTGGATCGAATGGAGTCGAAAGCCTAATAAGAGAGATGGGGTTATTTAAATTGCAACAAATAGATCTATTTAAAAGTTTAAAGTACGACTGATTTGGAAATTCACGTAGTTAATTATTGCATGCGTTATATTATCACCATGTAAGGGATAAATTTATTATAAAAACTACGGGAAAATACAAGTTAATCTGCCAGATAAACGAATTTTCGTTAATCTGATGACATTTTTGTAAATATATTGAAAAAGTAGGGTCATTTATTTAGTACTTTTGGTGAGCTGTTCAATTACTGTTTGCCTTTTGCTTTTACTGTTTGATGAGGAAATTACTCATGTACCCCTCAACTAGTACATAAAAAGATGCATATACCCCTCTACTAGTATTTGAAAAGACAATTATACCTCCAGATAGATAAACAAATTTTGCTAATCTGGGGAATTGACTGGGTATTGCTCAAAACTACTATAAAGTGTTTTCGAAATCATGGTAATATATATAAATCAATAATATTTTGAGTTTATTTATTGATATTATATCTCCGGTACCTAACATAGATCTATAATCTAATATGCAATTACAAAATATGCAAGGAATACTACCACCTTATTAAGAGGATCGAAATAGAGGTGATGATAATATGTAGTCACAAAAAAGTTGAAGAATAATTCGTATATAACATAGGCAGTAACTAGTTAATTGGGATATACTACGTATATGTTTGATCATGGAGATTTATTTTAGGTTAATTATTATTGAAAACAAATACGGCGTGTTTGGGGTCCAATTAAGCCAATTGGGCCTAGTCATTAAATGATTTAATATTTCAAGGTCAAGGCCCAAGCCTCCATTAAGCCAAGTCATCATAAGGTCAAGCGGCCCAAATTGTCATGGTCAGCCCATGATTAGGTTCGGCCCAGTCATTCTCCTGCCTTTGTCATGCTAAGGTATAAAAGCCTTCAATTTCACCATTTATCATTCATTTACAATTAAAGCCTCAAGCATTAACTCTCTTTCATAGCTTTTCTCTCTAAACACTGTTTGACTTCGGCATCGGAGGGGTCTTCCTCGGATCCACCCCCGAGGCCAGTTTACGTGTGTTTTCTGTGCAGGAAACCTTCGGCCCAGCATTACTTGGACCGGACCAGTCTTCATCCACTTCATTGGACCTTCGGCAAGGTCCCATTGTTTTCATCCGAAACAATTTGGCGCCGTCTGTGGGGAAGACTTCCAAAAAATCTTTAAGCCAATTAAAATCATCTTGCAAAAATCTTAGTAGCAATGGCTAAGAACCGCAAGAACAAGCGACTAAGTCAAGGAGCAGGCGAAAGGCCTAAGACTCCTATACCATCACCATCACCTTCTCCGGACCAGAACTCTTCTAAGGGTGCCAGTTCGGGAGGAGCATACCGGGAGGATTCCCTTTCTCCCACAATTCACCAATCCCATCATAGACCGAGTCCTCCTCGGTCTAACAAAAGTCAGTCCGATCGTAGGACTCAATCAGTGCCTCAAAGCAGACCTTTGACCGTCCACTCTCACTCTCACACTCAGCCGAGGACCCCTTTAACGGGGCCTAGCTCGGAAGAGGTGGCAAGAGCGTTGGCGGTGCTAATGGAAGCAATGAGGGCACAAAATATGCCTCCACCTCGTGACCGAACCCCTCCGCATACCAGGCATCAGCGGAGGAAGCTCGACCATGAGGGGGGAAACCTCCCTCCTTCAGGGAACTGGAAGAGTGGGAAGAGGGCACTTGGAGGACTGAAAAAGAGAGGAAAAAGAACCCTCATTTTTTCAAAGGATCCTCTACCTCTCGGCCAGAAACTCACAAAAGCAGCAGCTCTTCCTCTCGGCCAGAAACTGTTCGTCGAGAACGGCCACAGACTGTCCGCCGAAGCGTCCTCGACCGACTCGGCGGCAAGGAGCCGAGTGTGCATAGCCGCCTCTCATTCCCTGTAGTCGAGGCCCAAACTTCCCAGCCAGGGACGAAAACCACTCCTACTTCTCTAAGAGGGCAGAGCGCGGTCCCTTCGGCCAAGAATAAGGGCAAGGCCGTAATGCTTCCTACCAGTTCTCCATTCAAGCAATGGATTCTGGAAGAGCATGTGCCGACGGTTAAAATACCGTCGCACATTACATATAATGGGACTTCGGATCCGAAGGACCATATTGCCTCTTACGAGGGGCACATGCATCTCTGTCCTAGGTTTGAAGCGACCTTGTGCAAATATTTTCCCACCACTCTCAAGGGGGTCGCGCAAGCGTGGATCTCCAAGTGAGTAAAGAAAGGCTCTATAACGGGGTGGGACGACCTGTCCACCAAGTTCAAGAGCAAATTTTCCATGGCAAACCGCCGAGAGAAAACCACTGCAGAGCTCATGGGTCTGCAGCAAGGGGAGACCGAGAGTCTCCGAGACTACTTGACTCGTTTCAGCAACGAGTCATCCAGCGTGTCTCAGCTGGACC